TTATATGCTTACCTCATAGGTCATAGATGAAATTTCATCAACCTAAATCATGTAATGAATCCCTTAACATGAACATAGCATATGTAAAACATCATCTAATTTAGGGTACACATGAACACACCATCCAAGGCCCCTCTCTTGAGTAGATATTCATACATGTGTGTGTGTATATATATATGTGTGTGAACAAACATTTCACATAACATATTAAGACACACATGTTCATACATACATATTCTTACGTATAGAAACCAAAAGTAGAACTATCCTCTTAAGGTACACATGTGCAATGCATAGGCACAATTCCATACCCTTGTCCAGATATTCATCAATTTTCCTTCAAGTCCATTGTCAACACATACATAATGACAATATAGTAAACACCTCCACCATAAGTGGATCATACCACAAAATTCCATACAAGGCTTCCTCAATATTACTATAAAGAAATAGAGAAGTAGAAGGGTAGAGGAATTCTTACCAATCCATTAGCCTTTGGTCATCATGGACCATTACTAATATTTTATAAATAAATCAAGTATATGGCAGTAGATTAAGGTACCATAATCATACATGAAGTTAAGTGTAAGCTACTACAAGGTCATGCTACAACTAGTACAACATATCATTAACATGCTAGAATGTAGAAGGACATAGACAATCAACTAACTTAACTTGCATGTATTATAAGTAATATTTCGTCAATACCACTAATCAAGGGCAGTAATCTCAAGAAATCATAGCTTTGACGAGATCCTACTATACTGCTTCATATTAAAAGTTCATGGAGGATAAATTTACATATGTTAATCCCATTCAAAATATCATGCATTAATCCACAATAGATACATTGCATATATTTCATAACCATATTACATCACAGGAAGTATTTAACCATCAATTTAACATAATTGAATCTCACAATTTTCCTGCTAGAATCATCTATCTATAGACTAAAGCATGTAGGTCACTCTTACCAAATTTCCTTTGATTCGATTAATAAGGGTTCATACCTAAAATTTATTCATGATATCAACTTAAGAAAGTATCTACAATTATCTTTACCCAATAGAAATCTTTGACAATCACCATGAATCAAAACTTACAGTGAACACATACAACATAGGCTAGTTTTGTTCAAATATATATACATGGATTCACATGGATAGTTCATCAATGATTCACCATCAATATATATAAAATACAGTAGAAATAATCATATTAAAATAATTAAATCATAAATTTCAATGCATAAGATCAAGATCATAAAGCCATACATAGGATAAAATCGAATTTGTGAAAGAGCATGGGTTCATCATGCAATAGGATTGAAAATTACGACATAATCAGTAGATAATCATCAATGCATTCATATGATGCTTTTAAAAATCAATTTAAGAAAGAAGCCATGGTTACATTAACAAAGAAGAACTTTGATCATAAACTTTCTTTGAAAACTTTGAGATTAACTCTCTAGATGGAAGGATAACAAGAGATGAAGGATGACCATACCTTTTTAAAATTGTAAAACATTAAAAATTGATGATTTATCCATGGAAATTCAAGCTTCAAGCTATTCTTGAGCTTAACCAACAATGGTTGTTTCAAGGAAGAATATTTTGGAGGAAAATGTGTAATTCCTGACAGAGGATTTGGAATGAGTTAATCACGTGTTAAATTAATTTTATACACCCAAAAGTATATAAATAAACCAATTAGAATCAGGTAAGGACGTGGCATTAATTTTACATTCACACCTTAAATAAAATAGTGCGCAAGGCACAAGTTGCAACCCACCATCGACGGATCATAGGTCAATCAACGGGCTATCTGTGGCTTCTGTTGTTCGGTCCTGGTGTTTGGCTGAAACTTGAAAATGCTAAGTTTTATATAATAAGACCCCACCAGAAGGCCGTTGTTTGGTCAGTCGTTTGACACTGGCAAGGCAGTGTCTCAAACAACCTTGGGTCCATCTGGTGGATCCTTTTGCGAGGCCCTTTAGAAGTTGTACTCGGATGTTTACAACATAGATATGTACATTAACAAGTTTTAGAACTTCGAAATAAGTTTTACTTAAAAAACACACCTGAAAATCGTCATAATCTCATTATATATTGTATGTAAACAATATGGACACATAAGGCACATAGGCGACGAGTCGTCGAACTTTTGGTTATCCCTCGACATTCGACTTTCAAATCACTTCAAAATTTACACACTTTTTCTAAAACATATTATAAGTCATTTAAGGAACTTAGAACCTTAATAAAAACATGTTAGTATCTATACACCCTACCTCATTTTGAGGTCATACAATATCCCTCACTTAGGAACATTCGTCCTCTAATGACACCTAGGGATCTTGATTCACAACAAGGACTTCAATGCATCATAGATAATTTTATAACAACATCAAATCGTTTTAGCAATCAATGCACACAATCAAGCAAAACCATTACTCTCTCACTCTTTAATACGTCAAAGACATAGGCTCTTATCATGTTCATAGGAGGAACATGCTTCTCCAAATCATAACATGGTCATTACACTTCAACTCGTTAAGAGATCATCTTGCAAGGCCACACATAGGCAGATTTCAACAATACTCAAAACAAGTAGGCACTCATACTTCAATGCACATAGACTTGAGTTAACTTAATCAACAAAGATCTTTATTAGTTAGACCTAGTGCCATGAAGGTCATACTCAACCATACCATGAATAGTGGTGTCCATGGGGGAATTCCCTTAAACTTAACACACTTATATGTATCATGAGTTCTCACCTAAGAAAGGTACAATGTAAATTTCCTCTTAAAATGAGAAATTCTCAACTTTTAAACCAAGACATTCTCATGTTTATTCCTAGTTAAGCCTAAGTGGCAAGTAACACCAAGTAAATCACAACAAATCGGAAGTAATTTAATGAAAATTATATCGCTGACATAGTACTCACCTTCACGATAAGAATATTTGAGAAGAATAACATGAATCATAGGTACACACATGAGCACTTAGAGAAACATGCTTTCACTTTTCAAGAATGAGCCTACAATTATGAATCCCAAATCATAAAAATCACATAATTCTCAAGAGACTCAACATATTTCACTTTAAAGAGACTCAACCTTTTATTAGAAGGCTAAATAGTTCACCGCATAAGTGACTATTACCATGTTTCTTATCTTATCTCATGAAGTCAAATGCAAAACTAGCATATCAAGATGCAATTTAACATGAGTAAAACATGGTTTTTATCAGAAAATTTCTTGCATGAACTTTGGAATATTTACAATATCTTCAAAGTAATGTCAATCCATACATACCGAACATATAAAGTTCATGCAATTCATACTTTATGCAAAACTCCATTGATAAACAAGCTTACTAGAAATTCAATAGATTCAAGTTCAATTAAAAATAGAAGGACAAGATAGAAAATATCTACAACCTTAATACTCCATCACCATCCACACTTAGGGTAGACCCATTTTACGAGCAACTTAACCCAACCTTAACAGGATGTTAACTAAAGAACCTTCATTTTCATTACTTAAAAGTGATTACAACTTTGGAAGGGTTTTACAGTTAGTTAATATAGGAACACCAAGGTATTCTAAGCTTCATCACCTTGGCGATTTATCCCCAATTATCCAGTTATGTCATCTCATTCAACCATATTAGGTTTGTGTACAATACAATTAACACAAAAGTCATACATCATTAGGGGAAAGAATAGAGGAGACTTAGCCTTAAGGACTCTTTCTTTTCTTCCAATATTAAAGTAAGGTAACTTCTAGGTCAATCAAACCCATATCATCACCGTACAAAAATAAGACTACTACCCTCAATTCTAGGAAAACATCAATTCCACAACATCAAGGGACTCACAACACAACAAGAACTTATAAATAATTCTACTACTCATCATGCCATAAGACTCTCATTTTTTTTATTCCAAATAGCAATTCTCTTTTTTACATTTACTATCATGTTCATAAGCTTCAATTATATGCACATTTCGACAACTTCTAGTCAAAGAATAATTTAGTTGATTTCCCATAAATCTCACAATAATTGCCTATTACTACAATGAACATGTTTCAACATTCCAAAAATGCATATTTAGGCAGTTGACGGGAAAGAATGACAATATGCCATACAAAACATTACAAAGGTAAGCACTTTATCATCACACCTAGGACCAAGTCTATACAAATGACTCAAACGCATACTCGGCAACTTATCATGGACCAGATAGATACAAAGGAAAACATTAAACACCTTTAAATGCATATTCTTAGGGTTGCATGCTTTCATAGGTAATAACTAAGCATTTCAAGTTCAAATCATAGCATTAGTCTACCAGCATGTAAAACCATATAGGAACACATCACAAAAGAAACTCATGTCATAAATAATTCTCGGATGATTTAACTATATCATGACATACATTTTTTTCAACATAACATGATATTTCACATATGTTTTCATATATAGATATAAATGGCATAACTTCATCAAAACATGCAAAAATTCACCTTCACACATACTCATTAAAAAGATAAAACCAAGATAAGAATTTCAACTCACCTTTTCTCCCATAAGCATCAAGCTCATCCAAGCAATCACATCTAAAAGACAACGGGACAAGAAACCATAAGAGAGAGATCTAATAGAGTTAAGTTCTATGGAACGATGAGACTGGTGAAGAAGGGAAACTCTATCATACTATAGCCGCTTGTACCATTTGAGGTGTCGCGACTCACCACAAATGATGCAAGACATTACTATACGTGGCAACATGAGACTTCTTTGACCCTAAACCACCATTAAAATCTCGTGCTCTAATACCACGTTTGTCACATCCGGGGAGCACCCCCTAGAAGCAAAATGGCATGCTTGACCTCTCGGAGATCTTATACAAGTCCATAGTTATCATTCATCACATTGACATAGTAAATTTAGTGGAAAGTTTATAACTTTTCATAGCACATCATATGCTGGCAACATCACTTCGTATACATATAAAATATAAGTCATAATACATATTTAGACCTTAAGTATCTTTGCCATCTTAGCCAACAACCTTAGAATATATTAGGGACACAACCCTTAAAACATAAGGCATAACTATATAACTTTTAATAAATTTTACATTAAGACATGAGTAGGGAATCCTTGGAACTTAAGGACCCCTTTCCTTGTTCTTTGGAATCACATATCAAGCTCCTCAATCATGGACATCCTTTAAGCATCCATAACCTAATGTTTGTGTAAAAAGTAGAGAAGAATGAGATTAGTATAAGAATGGACTAAGTATGACAACCATGCAAAAAAATGAATCTAAAAGGGACATTTATTTTTATCATACTTCATGCCTTTTTCAGGAAATATTTATGAAACCTTCATACCATAGCATTTATATCATTCACATACTTCATATAAACATATTCAAAGTCCAATAATTTAATAATATCACTTATCAAATATATTACATAATTTAGTCACTTTAAAATGAGCTCAATTCCCTTAACAGTGGACTATTTTTTTTATTATTAACCTTCCCAAGTAACCCTCTAGTGATACTTAGTTCAATGCATTACCTTAAGGCCACAATAAAACATACATAAAATCTATATAAGACAACACATACCATCATAGAAGTATAGTGCAACTTAGACATATTTATGCCAAGACTAAAAAGACATTATAGTGAACTCCTAGTCATTATGCGCATATACTTCTTTTACATCACGTAGAACCTTATAAGACCTAACTCATGCACCCAATCTAAGTATTCTAGTGAAATTTACATATAAGGCCCCATAACCTCACACATACATAGTAAACCTATCATGAAACCACAAGCCTTTACATCCAAGTCATATATCAACATAGTAAGATGAGACCACTTCATTTATGTCAAGCAAGACCTTAATCATATGATCAACAAGATCGACATCATGCATAAAGACTCATATCATGCATATCTTCATTACAAGTAGACAAATACTACAATGTCATGCATAAGGAACCCATGCACAGTGACATGCATTAGAACACCTTCCTCGAACATCATACGGAGCTACTTGTGCAATTTCTTGATGATTTCATTACTTCAAACTATCCTAAGTAACCTCTCTTAAGTCATTCTATATTACATCCATTGTCCATTTTTCTTTAGGGAAACTATAGCCCAAACCGACATAGACCATGTGATACTAAACATGGAATCCAGTGTCATAAAATCCCACACCAAAAAAAAGAGGTCTACCGGCCAAATTAGAACCAAACATAACATAGATTCCTAGGTGAATCATCTAAAAAATGACCTATTATAGCAACATAGTTATGGAACTTGAGGGTACACGTGAAAGCCCTCTCTATGCCATATTAGGCCTTGTAGTTATTCACTTATGTAAGCATCACTCTAACACTCTTTTGGGTCATGAGGCTATCCACCCCATTAGTTTTATGGTGACCTACCTTCCTACCATTGGAAGGGACACACACTCATATTTAAGTTTTCTCAGTGTTAAGCTAAGTTCCCTTTATTGAAAACCATTATTATATTTTTACTTACAAAACGTAGGTTTAGTAGAGTCATCCCCTTATATGCTTACCTCATAGGTCATAGATGAAATTTCATCAACCTAAATCATGTAAAGAATCCCTTATCATGAACATAGTATATGTAAATCATCATCTAGTTTAGGGTACACATGAACACACCATCCAAGGCCCCTCTCTTGAGTAGGTATTCATACATGTGTGTGTGTATATATATATATGTGTGTGAACAAACATTTCACATAACATATTAAGACACAAATGTTCATATATACATATTCATACGTATAGAAACCAAAACTAGAACTATCCTATTATGGTACACATGTCCAATGCATAGGCAAAGTCCCATACCCTTGTCCAAATATTCATCAATTTTCCTTCAAGTCCATTGTCAACACATATATAATGATAATATAGTAAACACCTCCACCATAAGTGGATCATACCACACATTTTCATACAAGGCTTCCTCAATATTACTATAAAGAAATAGAGAAGTAGAAGGGTAGAGGAATTCTTACCAATCCTTTAGCCTTTGGTCATCAGGGACCATTACTACTCTTTTATAAGTAAATCAACTATAGGGCAGTAGATTAAGGTACCATAATCATACATGAAGTTAAGTATAAGCTACTACAAGGTCATGCTACAAGTAGTATAATATATCATTAACATGGTAGAATGTAGAAGGACATAGACCATCAACTAACTTCACTTGAATGTATTCTAAGTAATATTTCGTCAATACCACCAATCAAGGGTAGTAATCTAAAGAAATCATAGCTTTGATGAGATCCTACTATACTTCTTCATATTAAGAGTGCATGGAGGATAAATTTACATATGTTAATCCCATTAAAAATATCATGCATTAATCCACAATAGATCCATTGGATATATTTCATAACCATATTACATCACAGGAAGTATTTAACCATCAATTTAACATAATTGAATCTCACAATATTCCTGCTAGAATCATCTATCTATAGGCTAAAGCATGTAGGCCACTGATACCAAATTTCCTTTGATTCGATCAATTAGGGTTCATACCTAAAATTTATTCATGATATTAAATTAATAAAGTATCTACAATTATCTTTACCCAATAGAAATATTTGACAATCACCATGAATCCAAACTTACAGTGAACACATAGAACATAGGCTAGTTTTGTTTAAATCTGTATACATGGATTCACATGGATAATTCATCAACGATTCACCATCAATATATATAAAATACAATAGAAATAATCATATTAACAGAATTAAATAACAAATTTCTATTCATAAGATCAAGATCATAAAGCCATACATAGGATAAAATCGAGTTTGTGAAAGAGTATGGGTTCATCAAGCAATAGGATTGAAAATTACGACATAATCAGTAGGTAATCATCAATGCATTCATATGATGCTTTTAAAATCAATTTAAGAATGAACCCATGGTTACATTAACGAAGAAGAACTTTGATCATAAACTTTCTATGAAAACTTTGAGATTAACTCTCTAGATGGAAGGATAATAAGAGATGAAGGATGACCATACCTTTATAAAATTGTAAAACATTAAAAATTGATGATTTATCCATGAAGATTCAAGCTTCAAGCTGTTATTGAGCTTAACCAACAATGGTGGTTTCAAGGAAGAATATTTTGGAGGAAAATGTGTAATTCGTGAGAGAGGATTTGGAATGAGTTAATGACCTGTTAAATGAATTATATACACCCAAAAGTATATAAATAAACCAATAAGAATCAGGTTAGGATGTGTCATTAATTTTACATTCACACCTCAAATAAAACAGTGCGCAAGGCACAAGTTGCAAGCCACCATCGACGGATCATAAATCAGTCAATGGGCTGTCTGTGGCTTCTATTGATTGGTCATTTGCCTGGTATTTGTCTGAAACTTGAAAATGATAAGTTTTATATAAGGAGACCCCACCAAAAGGCCGTTGTTTGGTCAGTCGATTGACACTGCGAAGGCAATGTTTCAAAGAACCTTGGGTCCTTCTGGTGGATCCTTTTGCGAGGCCCTTTTGAAGTTGTACTCGGATGTTTACAACGTAAATATGTACATTAAAAAGTTTTAGAACTTCAAAATATGTTTTACCCAAAAAAACACACCTGAAAATTGTCCTAACAAGCTAGACCTCTTTAAGAAACACATTGAGCGTCTTAGTGACTATTTTTCGAACGCCTTGGACGTGCTTGGTCGTTTAACCTCCAAACTTCTAGAAACTCCATATAATACAATTAAAAATAATTATAAATCATATTAAGACTTCATAAGATTATGACATACAGAATATAAACACGCATGGACATAAGAGTCACATAGGCGACTAGTCGTTGAACGTTATGGTCGTCCTTAGACGTTCGACTTCCAAATTAAATCAAAATTTACACATTGAATATAAACAATATTATATGTTATTTTAGGACGTTAGAAATAAAATAAAAACATGTTATTCTCTAGACACCATATCTCTTTTCGGGGACTTACAATCATTCACGACATTAGAAGAAAATCCATCTTTTACACATCATTAGAAACAAATTTTGAAGATCATCTTGGGAAAAGAGATCCTAATAGTGAATATATTAAATTCCTTAAGATTTTCATGAATATTTATGAAGAAAACGTTAGTCTTGCAGACCTATTGAACCTTGAAGCTTGATCTTCAATGGAATCTTTGAATGGAGGGAAAAAGTAGAGAGAAGTTGGAGAGAATTGGATTTGGGAATAATGGGGTGTTGAGTTAGTTTAATGAGGGTTAGTCCATATATAGTCCTTTAAATAACTTAATTAAGCATCCCTTAACCCTTAATTCTCGAACGACGAACCCCCGTCTACGGGGCATTGACAAAATGACGGCGTCGTACTGACAAGCCGTCATATTGATCAGAGAGTGTGTTTTTGGATACTTCATGAAAATATACTAAGTGTCAACCAACAACACCATCGATGCAGTGTCGATTAAACTACATCTCGTTGTTTGGTCTCGTGGTTGCATACTTTCGAAAAGATAGTTCTGTGGTCAAATTTTAGGGTCCTCTACAAGGACCCTTAGGGTTGTCCTTGGGGATTCGTACCTGAAATTTTCGACCTTAAACACACTATAATACATGTTTAATACCTCTTTACAAAAATTGACTAAGTGCCGACTCTTAAAACACCTTGAAACATGCCAAGCCACACTAGCATCAATTTCACTAGTCTCCAGATGGGATGGATGTTTTTTGAAGTTTTGTCTCCAACAGTTCCTACTTAGTTTCAATACACTAATTTATGCTTATAAACCCTATTAGGAATCTTAATTCATCATGTAGGACTCTATACTAAGTTATAAAATTTCAAACTGTTAAGGTTTTGACCGTAAACATGTCCTTACACGTGTTAAAGTCATCCACTAATTTTAGACTCCAAACAACACAATAAAACACATACAACAATAAACGACACACTAATACACACTCAACATGTGTTTATGGACGTCTTGATTGTAAGACCAAGAAGATGACCTTGGTTAAATAGATCCTAAAATGTTGGTATTGATTATATAAGGTTGTAAATATGTATAGAATATAGTATATAGTCAGTATCTAAAGTATTAGAGGTTTTGGAAGTCAAAAAAATTTAAAGAGACGACTAAGACATTGTACGAATAAGTCACCTAAATGTCTAAAATGTGGTTCTATGTGTTTGTGTGTGTTTCATGATTTTTTAAGGTTATTAATAGAGTTAATACATAATGTATAGGCAGTTTTTAAAGTTTCTTGAAGATTGGGGGTCAAACGACCGAGAACATCCAAGGCGTTCAAAAGACATGCCTTGAGTTGACCATGACGTCCAGGCGAGTTTCGTTGAGTTTAACATGTTTTTTTGGATGAAATTTATTATATATGTGTTAAACTTATGTACTATTGTATTTGGGATGGAAACTTAGAAGAAATTATCCCAAAGGACAATCTAAGGATCCCTTAAGAAGGACCCAAAACTGTTGGCATGGCAGTCCAAGGCAGACCCCAAACGATGGAGAAATCGATGGCTCATAGGCCTATCGACGCACCGTCAAAGGGTTTATTCGATGGGGACTTAAACATGGGAGGGAAAGGAATATTGTAGATCCACTGTAGACAACAAAGGATGGTTGTTACACCACGTCGTGGCTGTGATGGTCCGGCACGGGCAGTCGTTGCACAACCTGTTCTTGCGCAGCTGGTGCTGCCAAGTTAGGAGTAAATTGGTATATTAACCCCACTTATAAATTATGTTATGCAAGTTTTATTAAGGGTAACTTGGGTATTTTAATTAATTATATAAAGTTAATCACATGGAAGACCTCATTCCTCAAAATCATATACCCCAAACACTTAGAGAATATCCCAAACCCTCCATTAAAGTCCAACTTGAAGAGGCAGCTTGGTGAGGGGTTTTTGTGTATAAATTATTCATAAAAGTGAAGAATTATCATCCAAGAGGTATGTATTTTTATCCTTGAAACTCAGTTCATCAAGGATCCAAACTGTCAACATTTTTATCTATGTTTTCTAAAGTGAATTATTCAATTTTATAATTCTACCACGGGTTCTTGCATAAATTATTTCTTAACATTGAATTATGATCTAATTGATATTTTATTGATGATTTCAACATAAATTACTTATGAACCCATGAATTTTGATGAGCGCTAGTTTTTTTACTATAATGTGGGTTACTTGATATTAAGCTAATATTGATGAATGTTATGTAGCTTCTTATGGGATTTCTAACGATATAAGAATTATATTTAATTGTTATATAATTTTATCTTATATTGTTAACCTATATTCAATCAATAGATATTTCATTAGATTTTATGATTATTGATTGAATTGTTGGTTATGGTCTTGGGTGTAACGACCCGTTTAGTCGTTTTGAGCAACAGAATTCAATTCTGGAAAAACTGGCAGAAGCGACGGACCCCACGACGGAACGTCATGGGAACGACGGATCGTCGTAGGGTCTCGTTTCTAAACACTTAGAAATTCAGAAATTTGGGTGCTGAAATCGACTCTCTGAACTCTGTGACGGACACGCAGGACGGACTGTCATAGGCACGACGGACCGTCGTGATCCACCATTTCAAAACACTTCAAATCTTGAGAATTTGGTACAGGGAACGACTCTCTGAACTTTGTGACGGAATGGCAGGACGGACCGTCACAGACCCTTGGTGGAAATTTGTGTCTCTGAACTCTGCGACGACCTGCAGGACAGACCGTCGCAGGCACGACGGCCCGTCACAGGTTGCAAATCCCAGGCAGAATTGGATTTCCTTACATGTTTTAAGGGACGTTTTTGGACTATTCTTTCCTTAATTATAGATTTCGTGGGTTTATATTAATAACTCAAATTCTTGGGGGTTAAAAGAGGTAACCCTAAGTTAACTAGTGGGGTATTATTGCCATCTTTTATTCTTAATTATATATTAATTAGGGTAAAAGAAAGAGGGTTGAATATAGAAAATTAGAAAGAACAAGGAGAAGGAAAGAGAAACGAATTGAGAGAGGAACGATCGAGAAGAAGAGGAAAACACCAAGCTTTGAGGATTAACGTACTTGATCGCAATTCTTCGGTGAAGGTAGGTTATGGTTATTTCATGCTATTCGTAGTAAACTCTTAATAGCAAATGATATGTGTTAGTAGTATTATAAACCTTCTATATGCTTAATTTTATGCTTGGATGAATGATGTGATTATGTAATTGTGAATAAATAAGCATGATGAAGCTATTGAATCCAAAATCTTTAAAAGAAACCCTAATCTACTTGTTAATGATGATGCCTTGGTATAAAAGAAGGCTTGATGAACGAAAGTGGTGAGATGAGGGGATCGGGTGCCACGTTCTGGTACCAGGATAGTATATGAGGATCGGAGTGTCACGTTCCGACACCAGGATAGTATATGGATCGAGTGCCACGTTCTGGTACCAGGATAGAAAATATGGATCGGGTGTCACGTTCCGACACCAGGATAGAATATGGATCGGGTTCCACGTTCCGGTACCAGGATAGAAAATATGGATCGGGTGTCACGTTCCGACACCAGGATAAAATATGGATCGGGTGCCACGTTCCGGTACCAGGATAGAATATATGGATCAGGTGTCACGTTCCGACCCCACGATAGAATATGGATCGGGTTCCACGTTCCGGTACCAGGATAGTATATTGAGGAGCGGAGTGTCACGTACCGACACGAGGGGAATAAAGATAATGAATCTTGAAATATGATAATATATCCAATCTAATGAACTAAATTCCCAAATAAGTATGATGAGGAGGTGTGAGTCCTCATTGATGTGCTTGGTGTTGTAACCAAGGGTTATGGTAACTATAAATGCTGCATGCTAAGGATATTAGTTGATTTTATGATATTGTCTAATACATACTGTTTTCTATTTTGAGTTGGCCGATGATATCTACTCCGTACCCGTGTTTTGTACTGACCCCTACTTTTATGTTTTTCTTCTTGTTATTTGTGGAGTGCAGCAAACGTGCCGTCATCTTCGACTCAACAGTAACTCAAGCCAGTCTTCGTCAAACCGGATCTTCAGGGTGAGCTAACGCTTCTAGCTTGGACTGGATCTTCTACTTCATGTCTTGATGCCTTCAACCTCCGGCACGGACTAGCTTCTTATGTATTTTTAGCTTTTAGAAACTCTTAGAGTTAGTAGTTTAAAGTAGATGTTCTT